GTGGGTGTGGGGGTCCTGGCTGGGGGGTGAGTACAGGGCTGGGTCCTGGCTGGGGATTGAGTACGGGGCTGGGGTCCCAGCTGGGGCACTGGGGGGATGAGCACAGGGGGTTGAGGGTGAGTGGGGATGTGTGTGGGGGGCTGGGGTCCCGGCTGGGGGGATGAGCAGAGGGGGTTGAGGATGAGTGGGTGTGTGTGTGTGTGGGGGGGTGAGTACGGGGCTGGGGCCCCGGCTGGGGCACTGGGAGGACGAGGGTAAGTGGGGGTGGGGGGTCTGGCTCGGGGGTGAGTACGGGGCTGGGGTCCCGGCTGGGGCGCTGGGGGGATGAGCACAGGGGGGTGAGGGTGAGTGGGGATGTGTGTGGGGGGCGGGGGGCCCGGCGGGGGGGGGGGGGGGGGGGGGGGGGGGCGGGGGGGTGTAGGGGTGGGGGGCCCAGCTGGGGCACTGGGAGGGGTGAGTGTGGGGGTACTTACTCCACCATACCCCCCGTCTCTCCCATTGCAAGGCCCCCTCCCAAGTCACCCAGCTAACCCCATCTCCCCGCAGGCCCCGCGCCATGGACTCCCGGCCCCTGTTCCAGGCCCTGCACGTGGTGGCCGAGGACAACGTGGCCTTCTTCCGGCAGAGCGCCTCGGAGACGGGGCGCCGGTTCGTGGCGGCCTTCACGGCCATCGGGGAGCACGCCCACCGCCTGGAGCCGATTCTGCGCCACTTCGCCAGCGTCTACCACGTCTTCGACCTGGACGAGGCCACGCCGGCCAACGGGTACCGAAGCCTGGCGCAGACGACGCGCTGCTGCCTGGCCCACGTCCTGCACAAGAGCCGCTACGTGGCCGCCAACCGCCGCAGCATCTTCTTCCGCACGGGCCACAACGCGGCCGAGCTGGAGGCCTATTGCGCCGCCCTGAGCCAGCTGCGGGCCCTGCTGTACCTGGCGCAGCGCCTGCTGACCCACAACCGCCCCGGCTGCCTCTTCCACCACGAGGAGCGTGGCCTGACCGAGTTGGTGCTGCGGGAGTACGGCACCCTGCACAAGGGCTGCTTCTACGGGCGCTGCCTGGGCTTCCAGGTGGGGGACGGGGCGGGAAGGGAGGGGGCCAGGCGGAGGGGGATTTAGGGGGAGCGGCGAGTCGGGGAGGGGCAACCCAGGGCAGAAGGAAATGCATCTGAGTCCCTGGCAGCCAGACATGCTCAGGGATTCTGCTGTGCCCCTCGCTCTGGGCCCTGCTGGCCTGGGTGCAGGGCCCCCCTCCATGGCCCCGCAATTGCTCACACCCCCCCCACGCCCCGGCCACGCCCATCACTCTGCACCCCCCACCCCCCCCACTGAACACCCATGGGGAGGGTGAGCCGGCATCATGCCCCCAGGGTGCTCCCTGCGCAGCACCCGGGCAGGGGTGTCCCTCAGAGCCTCCGACCTGGTCTGGGGGTGCAGAACGGTGACCTTTGCCCTTTGCCCTGCAGTTTGCCCCCTCCATTCGGCCCTTCCTCCAGACCATCGCCATCAGCCTGGTCTCCTTCGGAGAGAACTACAGACGCCACGACTCCGGCCTCAGTGAGTGGGGTGCCCGGCGGGTGGGGGGGCACTGCTGTGGGGGGGCTTCTGCTCCCATGATGCACTGCAGCCCCTGGGGTGGGATTCTGCTCCCATGATGCACTGCAGTCCCCGGGGGGGGTGCTCCCATGATGCACTGCAGCCACAGGCTGGCTGAACCCACAATTCCCTTCTGGGCCCACTCAGCCCAGCCTGTCGCCCAGGGAACCCGTCTGGCCTGGCTGCTACCCACAATGCACTGCTTTGCCCCTGCCCTGCCCATTGGGGGCTGGGCCCCGTGCCTGGCTGCCTATGGAGCCTCGCTGTGGAGGAAGCTTGTGGGGGTAAGGGAGCACTGCCGGGGGGGGGGGGGGGGGCGGCAGGGGGGGGGCCGGGGGAGCCCCACAGGGCGGGGGGCCAGGGCCGGGGGGCAGCACCCCACCCCCGATCTCCTGTCCCCCCAGGCATGGCAGCCGGCTCGCTGTTCACGTCGGGGAAGTTCGCCATCGACCCGGAGCTGCGGGGAGCCGAGTTCGAGAGGATCACGCAGAACCTCGACGTGCATTTCTGGAAGAGCTTCTGGAACCTGACGGAGACCGAGCTGCTGGCGGTGAGTGCGGGGGCTGTCCCCGGCGCTGTGGGGCTGGGGCTGGGGTAGGAGCGGGACCCGGCGCAGGGCGCTGTGGGGCTGGGGTAGGAGCGGGACCCAGCGCAGGGCACTGTGGGGTGGGGGCAGGGGTTTGGAGTGGTGCCTGGTGCAGGGCACTGTGGGGTGGGGGCAGGGGTTTGGAGTGGTGCCTGGCACAGGGTGCAGGGGGGCTGGGAGCGGGGCCTGGAGCAGGCCGCTGTGGGGCTGGGGTCGGGATAGGAGCAGGGCGCTGTGGGGCATGGGGGCGGGAGCGGGGCCCGGCGCAGGGCGCTGTGGGGCTGGGGTAGGGGGCGGGGGCAGGGGCGGGGCCCAGCGCAGGGCGCTGTGGGGCAGAGGGGTGGGAGCAGGGCCCAGCGCAGGGCGCTGTGGGGTGGGGGGGTGGGAGCAGTGCCCGGCGCAGGGCGCTGTGGGGCAGGGGTCGGGGTGGGAGTGCAGGGTAGAACCTGCCTGGGGGCCCCTCTCACCCTCCCCCTCCCCCGCAGTCCGTGGCCAGCATGGCGTCCACGCCAGTGCGGGTGATCCGGGCGCTGACGGTGCCCCCCGAGCCCTTCGAGCTGCCGCTGGCTGCCGACCCCTCACTGAGCATCACCATCAGCCCCCCTGTGGCGCACACTGGCCCTGGGCCCGTCCACATGCGCCTCATCTCCCACGAGCTGCGTGAGGGGCAGGTGAGGGGCTGGTGGGCGGGGGGCTGGGAGCTCTGGGAGGGGAGTGAGCAGAACCAGGTCGTGTCCCGGCAGGACTGGGGAGTTGGGTCCTGGGGGAGTTCCAGGGAGGGCTACGGGGACCGGGTGAGGTGGTGGGTTCCAGGCAGGGCGTGCATGGGGGGAGATGAGCAGGGGACCCCAGCACCCCCTGCTGGGTGAGACGGGATGGGACAGGGGGACCCCAGCACCCCTGCTGGGGATTGCTGGGGGTGTCCTGGGCGGGGCACACACTGGGGGATGGCAGGGGGTCCCTGGCAGGATGTGCAAGGTGCGGGGGAGACAGAGGGGTCCCTGGCAGGGTGTGCGGGGGTGCGGGGGGTACGGGCAGCGGGGGTCCCGGGCAGGGTGTGTGGCGGGGGGACGGACAGTTGGGGGGTCCCGGGCAGGGTGTGCGGTGGGGGGATGGACAGTTGGGGGGGGGACAGTCGGGGGGTCCCTCACACCGTCCCTCCTGCTCTCCCCAGGACAGCGAGGCACTCTCCGCGCTGGCCCCGGCCGAGGGCACACTGGGGCTGGAGCTGTGGCGCAAGGCGGCGCCCGCGCCCCCCTCACCCCTCCTGCTGGTTCACTTCCACGGCGGCGGGTTCGTGGCGCAGACGTCGAAGTCGCACGAGCCGTACCTGCGGGGCTGGGCGCAGGAGCTCGGCGCCCCTGTGCTCTCCGTCGACTACGCCCTGGCGCCCGAGGCCCCCTTCCCCCGCGCCCTGGAGGAGTGTTTCTACGCCTACTGCTGGGCCCTGCGCCACTGCCGCCTGCTTGGTGAGCCCGGGGACTCCAGCTCCCCCTGAGGGGGGGCTGGGATGGGGGGACCCCCGCACCCCCTGCTGGGTGAGACGGGAGGCGACGGGGGGACCCCAGCACCCCATGCTGGGTGAGCCCAGGGACCCCGCACCCCCTGCTGGGTGAGACGGGATGGGACGGGGGGACCCCAGCACCACATGCTGGGTGAGCCCAGGGACCCCGCACCCCCTGCTGGGTGAGATGGGATGGGATGGGGGGACCCCAGCACCCCTGTTGGGTGTGATGGGCACATGGGGGGGCAGCACCCTCACACTGTTCGCTGGGTGGGACGGGCAGGGGCTGGAGAGTGTGGGGCATGAACAGAGCCCCCACCCCTGGTGGCCTCCCCTGGGTTCCCTGATGCCCCCCGCACTCACCCCGTCTCCCCGCAGGCTCCACGGCGCAGCGGGTCTGCCTGGCCGGGGACAGCGCCGGTGGGAACCTCTGCCTCACCGTGACCATGCGGGCAGCCGCCTTCGGCATCCAGCTGCCCGACGGCATCATGGCGGCCTATCCCGTCACCCTAGTGCGGGCCGCGGCCTCGCCCTCCCGCCTGCTTACCCTGCTCGACCCCCTGCTGCCCCTCAGCGTGCTCTGCAAGTGCCTCAGCGCCTACGCCGGTACGGGGGGGTACTATGGAGAGGGGCAGGATCGGAGAGGGGGCAGGGGGCAAAGATGGGGAGACGGGTGGGCAAAAGCAGGGAGCTGATGGGTTTGGGGCCAAGAGCCGGGACCCTGGTGCTCTCTCCCCCTGCTCCCCCGACACAGAGCCAGTGGAGGGTGAGCAGGGAGGGGGGGGCTGGTGAGGTGCAGGGGAACCCCAGTGCTCTCTGTCCCTGCCCTGAGGCACGGAGCTGGCAGAGGGCGAGCAGGGAGGGGGTCTGGTGGGGTGTAGTGGGACCCCGGTGCGCTCTGTCCCTGGGTGAGCGGGGGGGGCTCATGGGGTGCAGGGGGACCTCGGTGCTCTCTGTCGCTGCCCCCAGGCACGGAGCCGGCGGAGGGCAAGCGGGGAGGGGGGCTGGTGGGGTGCAGGGGGACCCCGGTGCTCTCTGTCCCTGCCCCCCAGGCACGGAGCCGGCAGAGGGGGAGCCCCCCGGGCTGGAGAAGCTGGGCCCGGTGAACATGGTGCGGCGGGACACGGCGCTGCTGTTGCAGGAGCTGCGGCAGAGCGCCTCGGCCTGGCTGGGGGCGCTGCTGGACAGTCCGGGGCGCAGCAACGGGGCTGGCGCAGGTAAGAGCTGGGTGGGGCCCCCACCCCTGCCCCCTGCCCGCCCCCTCTCCCCTGCCCCTTGTCTCCACAGGGCATGTCTGGTGCCAGCCGCCCCCCCCCCCCCCGCTCCTCCTGCTGCCCCTGGCGCGTCTTCTGGCAGCCAGGATCCCCACCCTCACTAACCCACCCGCTGGTAGGACTGCCCCGCCAGCCCCTAACCGCACGGGCCTCCCAGGGGTCGGGGGAGCTTCCACGGTGCTGCCCCTCAGCATCGGGGGCAGCCAGGGAGAGCCTGGCACCGCATGGCACATAGGTGTGGGGCTGGGCAGCCTGGCAGTGGGGCAGGGCGGACTGGCACCGCATGGCACATAGGTGTGGGGCAGGGCAGACTGGCATCGCTTGGCACATAGGTGTGGGGCAGGGCGGCCTGGCAGGGGAGCAGGGCAGCCTGGCACTGCATGGCACGTAGGCGGGGGGCAGGGCAGCCTGGCAGGGGAGCAGGGCAGACTGGCATCGCATGGCACGTAGGCGGGGGGCAGGGCAGCCTGGCACTGGGGCAGGGCAGCCTGTGGCAGGAGGGCCTGGCAGGGGGGCAGGGGGACAGGGCTGGCGGGGGGGCCGGGGGCAGGGCTGCGTGGCATGTAGGTGTGGGGTGACCCAGGCGCACACAGAACAGAATCCAGCATGGCACAGACACTGCACCAGTTGGAAGGGAGGGGGCAAGGTCCTGGCAGGGGAGAGGTGAGGACGATGGGGGGGGGCCCGGCAGGGGGGAGGGGGGGGCGGGGGGGGGGGGGGGGGGCCCAGCAAAGGAGAGGGGAGGGCGATTTGGGGAGTCCCGGCAGGGGAGAGGTTAGATCATTCGGGGGGTCCCCAGCTCTCACGTCTCCCCTGGTTCACAGAGGCCATGCGGACGAGCGTCTCGGAGGCAGCGCTGGACGACTCAGCTGTCAAATCCAGGGGCTCCCGCAAGAGCCAGACCTGCCAGGATCTATCATGCGGGGTGTCAGCCCCCCTGGCCCCTGCACCTGCCCCCCCTCCTCAGGGCAGCCCCCCCAGCTTCTTCCTGAGTGGGGGGCAGCTGGAGGAGGAGGCCCCCGGGGACGAGGGGCTGCAGTATCCCGACGGCTTTGAGCCGCTGCGCTCGGACCAGCCCTCTGCCAGCATCACCCTGGAGGCATCGCCCGTGGTCAAGAACCCCTTCATGTCGCCCCTGCTGGCCCCGGATAGCATGTTGCGAGGGCTGCCGCCGGTCCATATCGTGGTGAGAGCCCGGGCGGGCGGCCAGCCAGATTGTGCAGGGGAGCCTGGGCGGTCGGCTGGTCCATATAGCAGTGAGAACCCCACGGGGGGGTACTGGTCCATA